AACAAATACTGACGTCAGGCCATTTAGAAGTTCTTGTTTTATTGGCCTGTGATGCCAATAACACTCTCCACCACTTATTTCTAATGTGCAGCTGGTGTGGAGACCATTGCCCTATAGTTTTTAACCCCAGCTTTCCAGTTGATAAATGAGGATGACATGGCACCTTTAAAACAAAATCATTAACAGTATATTGAACTTCGGACTTTGTTAGACGATGTCGAAATAAAGATAACTCCTGCCGCTGTCCTCAAGCATTTTGCAATTTAGCTAAGAATGTGTGGAGAAATGACTTTTGAGGTTGATGGGATGAACTCTGGTGCCCTGAGCTTTCTGGGGCCAGCACACTACCTCTTACCAGCAGATCTCAACCTTGTCTGCATATTAGACAAGGAGCAATTAAAACAGGGTCTCTGGGAGTAGGGACCAGGCCTTAGTATTTTTTAGAATTCCCCAGATTATTCCAATGTGCAGACAAGGTTGAGAACAGTCCTAAGAGAGCTTTTGTCCCATGGAATTCTGAGTTTGTCAAAGGAACAGAAGAGCAACACTGCCCCTATTCTCTTTTCTTGTATGAACTTCCTGTTCATATGTGTGAGTCATGTGCTTAGGCAGGAAATACAATCAAGGTACATTTGTAGAGGGCAGATTTATTAATTATGGTAGAAAAATTTAAAACCCCAGTGCAACAGCTTCTTCTTCCACTCACTGATCCAGTATTGCTCTGTTCCCACTCTCTTTTATAAAAAGCAGTGGTTTAACACAGTGGTAAACCCTACCTGGGGTCCAATCAGGAGTTTGGAATAGCTTGATTTTTTTTTTAAGATTTTATTTATTTATTCATGAGAGACAGAAAGAGAGAGAGGCAGAGGGAGAAGCAGGCTCCCCACGGAGCAGGGAGCCCAATGCAGGACTTGATCCCAGGATCCTGGGATCACGATCTGAGCTGGAGGCAGAAACTTAACCGACTGAGCCACCCAGGTGCCCCTTGATGGTTTTTGTTGACATAAGAAAACACTTTGCTGTGTTAGTAACATGTAAAAGAATATAAATATATGAGTTTTGCCACAGGGGTAAGATCTGTGATGCATTTAGCTCTGTGAACCCAACTGACCTGCTCTAGAAAGCATGGTTCTACTCCTTATACTAAACTTAGAATTAGTATTTTTGTATTCTTTGGGTAAATACCTTGTAGTGCAATTGCTGGGTCATAGGGTAGTTCTATTTTTAACTTTTTGAGGAACCTCCATACTATTTTCCCCAAATAGCCAAAGCAACCTTGAAAATGAAAAGCAAAGCTGGAGGCATCACAATTCCAGATTTCAAGTTATATTACAAAGCTGTAGTAATCAAAACAGTATGGTCCTGGCACAAAAAAATAGACACATAGATCAATAGAACAGAATAGAAAACCCAGAAAGGGACCCACAACTATATGGGCAATTAATCTTCGACAAAGCAGGTAAGGATATCCAGTGGAAAAAAGTCTCTTCAACAAATGGTGTTGGGAAAACTGGACAGCAACATGTAAAAGAATGAAACTGGACCAGTTTCTTACAGTACACATAAAAATAAATTAAAAATGGAATAAAGACCTAAATGTGAGACATGAAACCATAAAAATCCTAGAGGAGAACACAGGCAGCAACCTCTTTGACCTAGGCCATAGCAATTTCTTTCTAGATACATCTTCTAAGGCAAAGGAAACAAAAGCAAAAATAAACTATGGGGACTTCATCAAAATAAAAAGCTTCTGCACAGCAAAGGAAACAATCAACAAAACTAAAAGGCAGCCTATGGAATGGGAGAAGATATTTGCAAACGATATATCTGATAAAGGGTTAGTATCCCAAACCTATGAAGACTTATCAAACTCAACACCCAAAAAACAAAAAATCCAATGGAAAAGTGGGCTGAAGACATGAATAGACATTTTTCCAAAGAAGACCTATAGATGGCCAACAGACACATGAAAAGATGCTCAACATCACTAATCATCAGGGAAATACAAATCAAAACTATAATGAGATATCACCTCACACCTGTCAGAATGGCTAAAATCAACAACACAAGAAATAACAGGTATTAGCGAGGGTGTGGACAAAGGGGAACCTTCTTGCACTGTTGGTGGGAATGCAATCTGGTACAGCCACTATTCCTTTTCTTGTCTTATTACATCAACTAGGATTTCTAGTACAGTGTTGAACAGGAATGGTGAGAGAGGACATCTTTGCCTTGTTCCCAATTTTAAGGGGGAAATTGTCCATTTTCTCACATTAAGTTATGATGTTAGCTGTGGGTATTTTGTAGATTGTTTTTAATCAAACTGAAGAAATTTTTTTTCTATTCTTAGTTTGCTGAAGGTTTTTCTTTTTTAAATCATGAATGGGTGTTGTACAAACAACATTTCAACAAACACAAAAGAAAATTACTACCTCATTAATAAATCAACTTGTTTTTCCTATTTTCAAGTTTTATTGGCTTAAAATAAATAAAATATACTCAGAGAGAACCATCTGACAGGGGAGAGGTTTTACAATGCATAATTATATAAACATGGGTAAATATAGGTAGTATACATTGCATGCAGACATAATTTTATATATTTGATGGCGAGAATGTGAATTTAATTTTGTAATATTAATTTTTTTTTTACTAAAAGGTATATTATAGGTCATTTTCAATGTTCCTACATAGATTTGAAAATTACAGTTTAGGTGTCTCCAAATTCATTTTCCATAATTCAGTCATTAATTCATTTCAAAGCACTTATTAAACATCCACTATATATCAGGCACTGTGTTGATGATAGAGACACAAAGAAGAATAAGATATACATCCTATTCTCAGGTACCTCACAATCATAGAAACATATACAGAATAATACACTGTTAAGTTTAAGTTGCCTTTGAGAACTTGGATATGAATGGGACATCTAACTCTGTGGGGAAAATAGAAAAGTCTTCTTCAAAGAAGTGCCATTTGATGTGACTCTTGAATGATAGGAATTTTCCAAATGGAGGAGCAGTAATATGTACTTTTAAAGTTGTGAAAGGGCCACCCACTTGCACCCCACTTCAGATACCAGTCACAAATCCAGGTTATTACTTATACTTCTGACCAACTGGCTATAAATCAGAGGTTCCCATGACCCCCTCTTTGGGTTTGATTAATCTGCTATAGTGGCTCACAGAACTCAGGAAACCCATTTACTCACTAGTTTACCAGTTTGTTATAAAAGGATATAACTTATAACAGCCAAATGGAAGAAATGCATAGGACAAGGTATGGGGACAAGACACAGAGCTTCTGTGCTCTTTCTGAGTGCTCTAACTCTCCCCATATCTCCTCAGCTTCACCAGTCTGGAAGCTCCCCAAACCCCATCCTTTTGCATTTTTATGGAAGTTTCATTATGTAGGCATGGTTGATGAAATCATTAAATCATGGCCATTGACAATTTATTCAACTTCCAGCCTCTCTCCCCTCCCCAAAGGTCGGTGGTGGGGGTGGGGGTGGGATTGAAAGTTCCAGCCCTCTAATCACTTGGTTGACTCCTCTTTTTTTTTTTTTTTTTAATTGAGAGAGAGAGGGAGAGCATGTGTGGTGGTGGTGGTGGGGTGGGGGGAGGCAGAAGGAGAGGGAGAGAAGAATCTCAAGCAGACTCCCTGCTCAGCAAGAGAGTCCAACATGGGGTTCAATCTCATAACCCTGATATCACTACCTGAGCCAAAATCAAGAGTGGAATGCTTAACTGACTGAGCCACCCCGGCTCCTCTTAGTTGGCTCCTTTGGCAATCAGCCCCTATCCTTAAGTGGTTTCCAAAAGTCACTTCATTAACACAACAAAAGACATCTTTATCATTCTTAACACTTAGGAAATTCCAAGGGTTTGGGGAGCTATGAGTCAGGAACTGTAGGCAAGTCCACATATATATGCAAAATACATACAAAGACCCAAATACATATGAGAGATATTTTTTGGTCATCTGAATGACCAAACATATATTTCTTATAAGTCACAATATCACAGGCACTTAGCTTATTTCTTTTCTATAAATAATGCTATCATTAACATCATTTAACATAACTTTGTCTACTACGCTGAATATTTCCTAAAAAGCTAAGTAAGTTTCAAGGGTTTTCATATTCTTGCCACATTGCTCTCCAGAAAACATTGTACTAACTTCACTCTCTCCAGTATAAGTTCCCATTTCATAAGTTTCTGTTTGTGCTAATACCGAGTAATAGTCTTTTAAATGAGTAAAAAATATTGTATGGTGACTACATAACATAATAAAATTTAAAAAATTTTTTTAAATGAGTAAAAAAAATGAGGTAATATGGGAACATATGTGGACAGAATAGAAGTTAGTACAATGTTTCCTGGAGCGCAGTCTTGCCAGTGTACAACAACCCTTGAAACTCATCTAGGCTTTGAAATATATAAAATATTTATAAGACTATTATTCAGATGAGCAGTTCTCACTTGGAGCCTCACATCATTGCAATTAGGTGACATCTGAAACTATATATCTGCTGTGGTCTCTTTGTTCACATGTTTAGAACTTCAGCTGGGATAAATCAAATTTCTGGGGGCTGGCTACACATCTCTGTATCCCAAACATTCTCTTCACGTGTCTGACTTGGGCTTACTCACAGAATGGTGACTTAAGGTAGTTGGACTTCTTACATATCTGCTGACTTCTACCAGATCAAGCTTTCTAAGAGACAGAGGGCAGAAGCTGCAAGACTACTTAGGACTGACTTGGAAGCTATCCAGGTATCATTCCAACTGCATGCTATTGGTCTAAAGCAAGTCACAAAGACAACTCAGATTCAAAGGAAAGAGACTACACAAGGGCACAAATACTGGGAGATGTGGAGGGGTGTGACTTTTTTTAATTGGCATTTCTTTCAGAAAACTTTTTCAAATGTTTATTGACTGTTAATAAACCATGAAGTTAATTCTCAAGTTGCTATGAATGCTTCTTATTTAATGCAGGAAAATCCTGAAGAAGGAAGGGCCAGTATTTACAAATCAGTGATCATCAACACATCTAAGGAGATGATGTGCTTCAGTGACTATCCCATCCCAGATCATTATCCTAACTTCATGCACAACTCCCAGGTCCTCGAGTATTTCAGGATGTATGCCAAAGAATTTGATCTTCTAAAGTATATTTGCTTTAAGGTAGGGAATTTTGTGGGTGTCTTTGTGTTTGAAGTTGTTTGTAAAATAAATGAATAATGTGGCTTAATTTACCAGTGCTTATGTGTAAAGCCTGGCTTAATATGCCCATATATCTATCCTATCCAGACAAAGACTCCATTCTTTTGTCTTTGTGCCTGAAATACATCCATGGAAAGGTCCTTTTTCTATATATTTTGGCTGCAGATCCTAGAAGCCACCTGCCAGAATGTTCTCATTCCTTCACTTTATACTATTTGATAGCAATAAAACAAATGAGGGCAAGTGTTTTCCCAGTTACTGAGGGGAACTGACAGGTATGGAAACTTCTGGGTCCACCACAGCTTATCTGCTGCTGCTTAGCCCTTTTATACTTTCTGAAGTACTTGCCAATGCATTTTTTTAAATTTAAATTCAATCAGCCAACATATCCTTAGTCTCAGATGTAGTGTTCAACAATTTATCAGTTGCGTATAACACCCATTGTTCATCAGATCACACCAATGCATTATTTTTATGTGATCGCAAACAACCTAGTGAAGCAGTTATTGGGAAGTTATTGAGGAAGCCAAGAAATTAACTCTGGTATAGAGGGAAGAACACTAATTGGGGAACAAAAACTTGAGTTCTAGTCTTTGCTCTACCACTAATCAACTTGTGACTTCAGACAAGTTAAGTTCCTCAACTTTGATGTCTCTTGTTTTTTTGTTTGTAAAAATTTTGTTGGTAAAACAAGATGATTATATCCGATCAGTTCAATGGTTCCTTCCTGTTGTTAAGTCTTCCTTGATTTTTCTATCATCTTTTTTTTCAAAGATTTTATTTTTATTTATTCATGAGAGACAGAGAGAGAGGGAGAAGCAGGCTCCCCATGGAGCAGGGAGCCCGATGCAGGACTTGATCCCAGGACCCTGGGATCACAAACTGAGCCAAAGGCAGACGCTTAACTGACTGAGCCACCCAGGAGCCCGATTTTTCTATCATCTTTAACCATGGCCATAGAAGAACACATATTTCTGACAGCTGGCAAAAAGCTTAAATATTCTACCTTTTTTTTCCCCTTGTGATGAGAACTATTAGGATCTACTCTCTTAAAAACTTTCAAATATACCATACAGCAGTATTATCTATAGTTGTCACATTGTACATTATTACATCCTCAGTACTTATTTATCTTATAACTGGAATTTTGTACCTCTTGACCATCTGCATCCAGTTCCCCACCCCCACCTCCCTTCTACCTTCTGATCATTCTGCTAAATCATGACTTTTTCTATTTAACAATGATAATAAAGTGGTAATATCCAGTGACAACTTCCAAAGTAAGTCTTTTATAGCTCAGTGACTTCCCTTCACTTGTTGTTAAACACATTTAACAAGTTTGTTACCATACTAATCAGTGGAGACACAAAGACAAAAAAAAGTCAATGATTTCATAGTCTAGTTAAGAAGATATAAAAATGAAGAAAAAAATTTCTATAAATTTAACTAATAAAAGTAAAGAGTTACAGGGTAATAAATGCCATAGAGATTTATATATTGTTAGCTCAGAGGAAGGGTGCTTAACCCATCAGGGCATGAGACAATAGGCACCAGGGAAGTTTTTTTAGAGGAGATAATATGTTAGGTAAATGTTGAAAGGTAAGTAGGAATCTGCCAAGTGAACAAATAAAAGATGACCCGTGCAGAGGCACAAGCCTGTGTAAAGGCAAGAACCTTCTAGAGAAGAACTCTAAATAGTGCAGGATGGCTAGGGTGTACAGAGATGGTATCTCTAGGAGTCCACCAAGACATTATGGTCAGAGGCCCTAGAACCACATAGGAATACATTCTTAATGTTTCCTTAGGCTGGATAGAAAAAAATATTTTTTTAAACCTAAAAGTTATACCACTGACTATCCCATCTTGCAGCCTCTTTCTTTATAATTACTTGTAAAATTGGCATTTATGGGAGCCAAAGAGAGGTTCATTGACTCAGTCACAAGTTTAAGCCTAGACAGTGAGAACAGGACTTGGGGTAAAAAGATATCAGAGGGTCCCAGGATGTCTGGGGGTCAGGAGAGGAATAGGCATTTAGTGCATGGAGTGCCTTAGAAGCACAGGAGAAACCTAAGTTCTACTCACGTGTCTCATGACATCTTAGGGCATGGTCTAAGAGAATGAGTAATTTGCACTTTTCTAGAAGCAGAGGAGAGTGCAACATTAACCTGCCAACTATTTTATTTAGCCTGCCTCAGAGGAGTTTTCTCACTCTGACCACAGCCCCAGACAAAGAAGTTCTTGTGTGTGGAATATGAAAATCAAATATCGCTGCATGAGCTCTATTATGTGATATTAGCCCTTTGTGTAACACTCTGCAAAGAGAGTCATGTCAGGGAAGATGTCCACTGTATTGGCTGTGGTTAGTCTCCTGTAGCTATCACTTTTCTTTTCAGACCACTGTGTGCAGTGTGAAGAAGCAGCCTGATTTCTCCACTTCAGGCCAATGGGAGGTAGTCACAGAATCTGAAGGGAAAAAGGAGGTAAATGTCTTTGATGGAGTCATGGTTTGCACTGGCCATCACACCAATGCTCACTTACCCTTGGAAAGCTTTCCTGGTGAGTAGCCTACAAGGAAGGAAACCCTTGAGCCATGCCTGTGACCCGATCTCTGAGGAATGGGAGGATTGTGGCCTGAGTGATTCCTACCTAAGGATGATAAGGCTTATCCTAATTCTACATGTTCCCCTGAAAGATGTTGGCGCAACTTTGATTACTGCCATTTGGGAGGTAGAAATAACATTAATTTTGGAGACTAGAGAAAAATTAGAGGGCTCTATCTTTGGTTTCACAACAACCTTAGTTTTTCTAAGGAGCAAAAGAAAGAACATGGAGTTGATCCGTATTAGGTTGAATAAAGACTTTTTCAGCAATCAAGGAAACAAACAAATATTGAGTTTCTAAGGAAGAAATGAAAACTTAGAGAACTTAATTATAGTTTTTGACCTGGATTTTCATTTTGAAAAAAAAAAAAAAAAAGCACTCTAGTATACTCTGGAGTATATGAAAACGTATGTACTCCAATTGAAATGGGAGTAGGTATTTAAATATGAAAAGACAAAAGAGAAAGGAGGTTTTCTGCAGCAGTTTGGATTTGGAAGTCTACAAGTCCAAAATACAAGCAGATCCTGAGGTAAGCAGACTATCCGTGGTAAGGAAGTCACAAGGTTCTGCTTTGAGACTGAGAGAAAAGAAAATAGGCAAAAATATTCAGAAAGGCAAGCATGCGGCTGAGTAAAGGGAGAATATATGGAGATGTGTGCTTAAACTCTACACACTGCCAGCAAAATGAATGGTTTGACAAATGATAGCAGATAAACCTCATCCGATAATTCTTTTCCCTTCTCTTGCAGGAATTGAGAAGTTCAAAGGACAGTACTTCCATAGCCGAGACTATAAGAATCCAGATATTTTCACTGGAAAGAGAGTCATTATAATTGGCATTGGGAATTCTGGAGGGGATCTGGCTGTGGAAATTTCCCACACAGCCAAGCAGGTTTGAATCAGTAAATTATTTACTTTGCCTCATCAAGGAAGCAGTCTGTAGACCCAACATAGAGTACGAATGCCTCTGCACATAGCCCATCCGTGCCAATGGCAAACATAGGGCTTGGCTCCATTGCCTCAGTTGGCAACATTATGACCATGATATGATGGAACCAATGTTCCCTGTTAGATTCCCATCATTCCCATTGACCTCACACTAAAGAATCCCAATGATCTCAATCAGTTGTCTCTTCTGAGTATGCCTCTGACTTTGAAGACCAAGCAGTTGCCTGGGGAACTTGGTCGAAAGCAGCATTCAGAGTGTGGCTCCTGTTTAGGCTAGCGGAAGTGCCACACTCTCATATGAAGGAAAGCACACTGGTTTAGCGGAAGGCTTTGCACTCAGAGGATGGTGGGAGAATTTTCCTCTTCACTCCCCAAATGGAAAATAGAAACAGTCTAATCTTTCCAAAGACAACGTGGATATTGGTATGAAAAGCATCCACGCTGTAGCATGTGCAAGGAGTTCACCCCAGCCTTTGCATACAGTTAGGTATCAGAATGACATTCACTCTAAAGCAATTTCTATGTCCTAGAGTTTTCTTGTTTTGTTTTGTTTTTTGGGTTCCAAATTTGCACTCCAGTGTTAAAAAAAAAAAAAAGACCTGAGCTGTTTTGTTTTTTGGAGCATAGATTTTGAGCTGGAAAGAAAATGTCTTCATTATAAATTCCTAGAAAAAGACATGTCATTTTATATCTTGTTATTCATGTCTGTATTGAATAACTTTATTGGCAATAGGTAAGTGGTCATTTCCCAGTAACTTTAATTAAGCTGTGTTTCTCCACAAATATGTTTAAAATCTTTTTAAAATAGAAGTTTAATGCCACAACTTTACCCAGAAACTCCATTCAGTAACACTTCTCAGTATCATCCCCATCTATTGCCACAAAAGTAATTTAATATGTTGCCCTATAAATTAATTCAACAAGCTTGATCAGGAAATAGGTATATAAACAAAAAAGGGTAAAAATTTGTATAGGTGTTATGATAAAAGAGTGTGCAAGGTATATGATGGGGACCCAAAGCATGAGTCTTCTTTAATATGAATATCACTGGCTTATCACATGGTCAGTTATAAGGGAGCTGGGCCTTCCATGCACTGAGGAACTGTAGATTGCCAAAGGAAGCATCCAGAGTGGATGGAGATAAGGTGGCTGTGTCTGAGAAGGCCTGGGGACAACACACTGTACAACCACGTCTGCACGGCAGGGCTGACCTCAGCACACCACTGATGCAAGCCAAACAAACTCAATTGCCGGGTTCTAACTTTTTGCTTTACATATTAAATTGTGTTTATTAGAATTTGTTTGCAGATCAAAAAATTTAAAGGGACCTATAAGTTTCAGGATATCAAGGAAGTTTGAGTATAATAAATTTTGTGATAAAACGCTTTTGTGAAGAGAAAACACCCATTTCTTATAAAACAACGTTCCTTACATTTTTTTCGTATAAATCCAGACTTGTAAATACGGTGTTTGCTTAAAACAAGGTATACATGGAAAACTGAAATGAGAAGTATGACGAAAGCCATTAAGCATTTATTGAGTGTTTACTATATGTCCCACCCTTTGCAGGTGGTGCACTATTCTCACAACAGCCTTGGGATGTATTATTGTCACTACTTTATACATAGGGAATCTTTTAATTGAGACTCTGAGCATTTACTCACAATATAACTTATATAACAAAAGTTATACAGACTGCACACAAAGCTGTGTGATTCCTAAGACCAAAAATGCTCTTTCAACTGTGCTTAATCATCAGTGTGTGTAAGGTTACCATCAGAGAGAATGTATGAGTGAAGTACATTATTATCCCTCTGTAGACTGGTCACCTTTTTATATGAGAGTTTATAGACAAAAGACCATAGAGCAGGTACTCATGTACCTTACAATTCTGGAAACTATCTCCAGAGAGTTTTGTAGAGAAAGTGATACTTTCACCAGGTAATTGAATGTCAAAAGTTTATCAGCTCTGAACATGGACTTTAGCCAGCAGAGGGCACCTAAAAACTGACCAGCTTCCTGTTGTTCTACTAGTGATCTGCAGTTTTACCGTTAAATAATCAATGAAACACTTCTTCAAGCACAGGCTTTGGGGTCATCAGACCTGGGCTGGAAATTCAACTCTGCCACTTACTAACTGTATGATTTCAGGCAAGCTATTCATTTTCTCCATGCCTCTCATCTGTAAAATGGGGATAATAATACCTACTTCAAGAGGTTGTTGTATTGATTAAGAATATAGATTAAAGGACCTGGCACAGTGGGTTACAGGTCACAATTCTCAATAAATAGAAGCAATGATGATGCGTTGGAGAGACTGAAAGATGTCTCTTCTGTACCTTCCACCCTGGGGGAAACACATTTGCAGAGACAGAAGTGTAAAAAATTTAATATCAGTATACATGATAAATAACAGGGGTTTTTGGTAATAATGCAAATAATGTCAAAGGCAAAAGAGACTGAGGGTTTTAGATTAAATGACATCTGATTGCTTTCAGTTCTACTGCTCCTTGATTTTACAAGAATTGGGCAGGTTAAGTGCTAGAGAAGTTCAAAGGATGGAGAGAAAATTGTCAAGCAGAATGGTCAGTGGTGTCTTATGGAGGAGGCACACTTATCTGGATCTTAACAATAAATAGTCTTTGGAGAATTAAGAAAATAGGTGGCTTTTCAAGGAGGCATAATGACATTAAACAGAAATGCAGTGGTGATTGAAAGACACGTTCTTGGTCAATGAGTGTACTAATTTAATTGTATTCTTAGTGTTTGAAAAGGTAAATTGCAGGATATAAAAAAAAATTGCGCAGGGACTAAAAAGACTGACAAATGAGTTTGAAGTTAATCTTGAAGAGAGTGGGGTGCTATTAAAGGATTATGAGCAGAGAATGACAAAAGCAAACAATTTTTTCCCCCATGCCCCAGGTTTTCCTCAGCACCAGGAGAGGGGCTTGGATCCTGAATCGTGTAGCAGACTATGGTTATCCTTTTGATGTGTTATTCTCTTCTCGATATAAGCATTTTCTTTCGAAGATTTGTGGTCAATCATTAGTAAACAGTTTTTTGGAGAAAAAGATGAACCAAAGGTTTGACCACAAGATGTTTGGCCTAAAGCCTAAACACAGGTATGTTGCCACGATGGGAGTGGGGCAGTGATGCTCAAGGCACAAGAATAAGGACTGTTCACACAGGCTAATCATAGAGCTATTTCTACCCATACATGGAGAAAATCCACAGATCTGAGATCAGATTTCTACTTTGCACCTTATAGAAGTCCAAGATCTACTGTAATCTGTAATCTTCAGCCTATGATTCTCCTTGGCATTAACCATTTGATCATTTCCTCAGATATAAGTTCTTTTTACACAATACCCAGTAACAACCAAATGGTAGCAGATGGCAGTGTATAATTCATTCATTCATCCCACAAACATTGAGTACCTGTTATGAGCCAAGCATTATACTGTGCATGAGAATACAGAGACTAAAGACCTAATAGTAATACTAATACAAATAATAAGACCTTACTTTTCTGAGGACTTATTATAAGACAAGCACATTGCTAAATGAGTTCCATGTATGATCTCATTTAATCCTCACACCCTATAGGTTAGAAGTATTTTTTTTAATCTCTATTTTGCAGATATAAAAACTGACACCTCGAGAAACTAGTTCGTCTGAGGTCACACAAGAAATAAATGTCAGACTCGAGAAATGGATCTTACCTTAAGTACTCTAAGGAGAAGACAGGCAATAGAGTATGATAAATGCATGGAGTGTTCTGGGGGTATGAACTATGGGAGACCTCACACAGTCAAGGAGATAGACTGTGAAAGCATTTCTAGAGGCTGATTTTAAATGCTTTTTTCCAACTCTTTATTTTTTTTAATGTTCAGATTTACTTACTCCAAAATAGTAAGTACAATGAGTACCCATATACCTTTCACTTAGATTCACCTATCAACAGTTTGCTACATTTGCTTTCTCTCTCTCCCTCTCTCTGAAAATAGATAAATCCCCACGTATACAGCATCCATCATCCATAGATGCATACATACATATTTTTCCTGAACCATTTGAGAGTAAGTCACAGTCACTAAGACACTTTGCCCTACATTCTTCAACATATATTGCCTAAGAAATAGGGCATTCTCCCACATAAACGTAACAGAGTGCCCACAAGGAAATTCAGCATTGATAAAATACAATTTTATATATACAATCTAATATATCACATATTCAAATTTTCTAAATTTTCCCAAAAATATTATTTACAGCTCTCTTATTTTTAAATCTAGGATCCTTTCAGGTATTACCCAATTGCATTTAACTGTCAGGTCTCTTTAGTCTCTCTTCATCTGAAATAATTTACCATTTTTTGACATAAGCTTTTTTAAAAGAATTGAGCCAACTGTTTTATAGAAAATCTCTAAATTTGGACTCACATAATTGTCCTACCTTTACTATATTCTGGTTAAGCATTTTGGCACAAATATTCATAGGTTATGTTGTACCTTCTTGGTGGATCACACCAGCATCCACATCATATTAATTTATCCTGTATTAATGAGGTTAAATTTGATCACTTGGATAAGGTGGCACCTACCAGGTTTTCTCCTTTGTAAAGATGTTTTCCCTTTGATCAGTGGGGTGATACTTTGAGACTATGTTCTTTCACTCATTTATTTCACCCAGTTATGGAAACTGTAGCATCCATAACTTTGGTGGTTACAAAATCAGTTGAGGCTTTATGGAACAATTGGAGCTAGCCAAGTAAGTAGGGTAAGGAAGTAGCATTCTAATTCTAAGTACAAGGTCTTAGAATAGTGAAAAATACATTTTGCTCTGGGACTTGCATGTTGTCTGGTTTGGCCAGACTATAATAAAATGGCAAAGATGAAAGAGTGATTGAGCACATCTCCAGCCTCACCAGACAGGTATATTAAAACCTTTGTGGGGCACCTGGGTGGCTCAGTCATTAAGCATCTGCCTTCAGCTCAGGTCATGATCCCAGGGTCCTGGGATTGAGTCCCGCATCGGGCTCCCTGCTGGGCGGGAAGCCTGCTTCTCCCTCTCCCACTCCCCCTGCTTGTGTTCCCTCTCTTGCTGTGTCTCTCTCTGTCAAATAAATAAATAAAACATTTAGAAAAAAAAAAAACCCCAAAAACCTTTGTATACTCTGCTAACTAAAACATTTGGAATGAAGAGTCCAGAGGCATTGAAAGATTTCAAGCAAGTGCGTGACCTAATAATAAATACATTTTGGAACGACCACTCCAAAAATGATGTAGAAGATAGACTGAAGGGGGATGACGCAGGAGGCCCTAAAGACAATTGTAATAGTCTAGGTAAGATAGAAAATAGAAAAAAAACTATTCTGAAGATACTAAGTGGAGAAAGGGAAAAGCCCGTGTGACCAGGTAGAAGACTCCAGTTTTGTGGCTTAGGCGACTATGTAGATGGTGGTACTGTTTGTGAAAAGCAGTAAGCTTACAGAGAAAGATGAAATCATGAGGTCAGAATAAGAACAGAATCTGTACCTAAACTCTAAAGGTTAGAGTCAAAGCATAACTAAATGCAACAAACCAGTAACAGTAATGCCATGTTGCTGAGGCTTGGCCAGCTCTGTCTGAACATGCTGTGCTGAGAATCTCAGAGCCTATTAACTAAGGGCCCAAGGATCCAGACTGATTTTTAGAAAGGTCCAAGACACTAGAAACCCTATTTTTTTTTTTTTTTGGCAGTCTTATCCTATGCCGTCTCTAGGAAAATACTACTTAACAGGCCCAGAGGCTCCCAAGGGAATTCATGGAAAACCAATTTGACATAAATTCTAAAATCCTAGTCTGTGTAACCTTGGGCAAGCCACTTCTGTAGGCCTCAATCTCCTCATCTCTAAACTTGGGTAATGACACCTGTCCTGCCTCCTTCATTGGATTTGTGTGAGACTCAAATAAGTGAAGGTATATAGAATCAATTTATAACTATAAATCACTATATACATGTCATTTGAAAATGATGGTCTAATTCTAGCTCTTGGGGCTTTGAAACTAGAAATGAGACTCAATAGAATGCAGATAGTCCAGTTCTCCAGACCTATTGATCTGTGGATAGAATCTATGGGCCTGTGGCCTTATCATATCACTGAGAATATTACTACTATTCCTTGAGAAACCATATATACACTCTTCAAATAAGACCATTCTTCTTTTACTTCTCCAATGTCTTCTCTTTCTTTTTTTCTTAGATTTTATTTATTAGAGAGAGAGAGCACAAGCAGGGGAGGAGCAGAGGGAGAAGCAGACCCCCCACTGGCAGGGAGCCTGATGTGGGGCTCAGTCTCAGGAACCTGGGATCATGACTGGAGCCAAAGGCAGACGCTTAACCAACTAAGCCACCCAAGCGCCCCGTCTTCTCTTTCAATGCCATCCAGGTCCCAACTTCTGCTCTGAGATTCTAACCTGTGCCAAGCTGGTATACGTTAGAGCTTTCCCAAATTTCATGGCTAGACCAGAGGGAGACCATTAGCATATTGTTTAACCACCTCCATCAACGTAGAATTTTACTGACATGTTACTGATACCCCTCTTTGTTTCTCGCATTTCTCTTTCTTCTGATCTTTATCACCACTTACAGAGCTCTGAGTCAACATCCAACGGTGAATGATGACCTGCCAAATCGTATAATATCTGGCTTGGTGAAGGTGAAAGGAAACGTGAAGGAATTCACAGAAACGGCTGCCATATTTGACGATGGCTCCAGGGAGGACCACGTGGATGCTGTCATCTTTGCCACAGGCTATACCTTTGCCTTCCCTTTTCTTGAAGATTCTGTCCAAGTAGTCAAAAACAAGATTTCCCTATATAAAAAGGTCTTCCCTCCAAACCTGGAAAAGCCAACTCTTGCAATCATAGGCTTGATCCAGCCCTTGGGTGCCATTATGCCCATTTCAGAGCTGCAAGGACGCTGGGTCACTCAAGTATTTAAAGGTAAGTGACTGTGCAAATTGACTCCCTAACTACTTAGTGGTATGTTTAATTATGTTTATGTTCTTGCTTTTAAATAGCTAAACAGTATGTATGACCGTAACAGTGCCTGCCATAAAATCAGTGCTCAAAAATTATTTTTGAGTGAACATAAAGTAATAACTTAGAACTGTAGACATATATTGGAATCTCCTGGGAAATTTTCCCAAAATAGGTATGCTTTGCCTGGTGGTGTTTATTTGATAAATCTAAGTGGGGCAGACATAAGATCTCTGAGAAAATATTCCTCCACTGATTCCAATGGGCACTCCAGAGTAGAATCCACTCATCTAGATTTTAGACAACTGATACATGTTTGTGAAGCAAAAGAATGTAATCTTTCATTATAGGGAAAAGCAAATATAGAAACGGTGTGATTTGGTTTCAGCCAAAAATTAAGACCTGGTTAAAGACTAGTCCATAATGTATAAGAGTCAACCTCTCAAATTCCTACTTTCCCCCCTTTTATATCCCCTCTTTCAGTTTTGGCTAGGAGAACATGAGAAAAAACTTTGGGGTTTGGGATAATAGGCTAAATATGAGTCAGGAGAATGATATAGCTTCTAAAAGGCTTAATTATCTCTAGCAGCATTAAAGAATTATAATATCCTAGAACTTAAATTGTTCTTCTCTAAGAACTTAAATTGTTCTTATCTAAACTGGTCAGCACATACCCAAAGACCTATTTTATTTTATTTTACTTTTCCCAAAGACATATTTTAAAAGTGAAACTGGGGTGCATGAAAAGGAGAGAGACAAGAATGGTTAAGGGATTTGAAAACGACATTTGAACTACAACTGAAGGAGCCAGAGAGGTTTACCTAGAGAAGATAAGATTCAGGGGCAATATGAGTGCTCCCTTCAAAGGTTTGAAGAATGTCCCATGGCAGAAGGATCTGATTTGCTCAGTATCACTTCAAAGGGTTGAACCAGAACCAAGGAGTGAAACTTTGAGGGTTGCACAAAATCAGCTTAACATTAAAAACAAACACACCAACCTTTTTTTTTTTTTTTGGTCAGCTATTGCCGTATCAAGATGGAATGGGCTGCCTCTGAAATTGTGAAGAATCCAAGCAGAATAGGAAAAAGCTTATCTTTATAGGACTTTAGGCATAAAATGGGATCAAGAATTTTTCCTTCTTTCCCTGTGGTATAAAGCCTGTTTATTACAAAGAGTACAAATGTGGGCGTGGTTCCCCCACCCTGCCCTTTTACTTCCTTCTTTATTTTTCATATACTTTTGAGACCATTTATTATTTCCTCATGTCCATTATTTAATTTCCCAAATAGGAAGATGATGTTAGGGAGGAGGAAGGTATTGGTTAGAAGGTAAAATAGGAGAAATATCTTCCAAAGACAAAGTAGAATAGAGTAAATTACTGTTGTTAATGTCATATTGTGGTGATGATGGGGTAAGGTGATCTAGTGAATTATAACCTCCTTGTGTACAGAAAATTATCCTGTATTTCTTTGAGTTCTGCATGGCATTGTGATTGTTAATAGGATTATTATTCCCAGTGAGGTAATTTTACACTTAAAATTTTGATTTTCCTCTTTAGGGCTAAAGACATTGCCCTCACAAAGTGAAATGAAAGCAGAAATAACTAAGGCTCAAGAGGAAATTGCTAAAAGGTATGTGGTTAATTTTTCTACTTAGTTCTTTTTTTTTTTTTTAAGATTTTATTTATTTTTTGACAGCGAGAGAGGGAACACAAGCAGGGGGAGTGGGAGAGGGAGAAGCAGGCTTCCCGCCAAGCAGGGAGCCCGATGCGGGGCTGGATCCCAGGACCCTGAAATCATGACCTGAGCCGAAGGCAGACGCCTAACGACTGAGCCACCCAGGCACCCCAACTTAGTTCTTAATTAGAGTGATGTTATACTATATTTATTAATTTTTTTAAAGATTTATTTATTTATATGAGAGAGAGAGAGTGAGCGAGCATGCAGCAGGGAGGGGCAAAGTGAGAGGGAGAGAGTCTCAAGCAGACTCCACCCTGCAGGTGGAGCCCAACTCAGGGCTCAGTCTCATGACTCTGAGATCAAAACCTGAGGTGACACCAAGAGTCAGACACTCAACCAACTGTGCCACCCACGTGCTCTTATTGTATTATATTTAATCTTCCTTGTGTTATTTTAAGGATTTAGATAATATTTATTATTGCTTTTCTGGCAGTAAACTATCCTATTTCAACTTTCCTCCTCTCTTCCCTTTGACTTATTCTTGTCTGACTACCTTCTGACTGTGAGCAGTCTCCAGTAACCTTTATTGAGGGTCAACTATGTACACAAAGTGTTTTATATGCATGAGTTTATTTAATCCTTGCAACAACCCTACAAGGCTGGTATAGTGAATCCCTTTTGTGAAACCATGAATACTCAGCTCTTGACTCACTACTATAGGATAAATGCATGCCTACAGACCCTTAAGCCAACATAATATCCATAAGGGGAAGCTCTCAAAATTCTTTCCTGTCTAGTCCCATTTCTATAAAATTAGTCCCATTTCAATAAATTCCAATTTGGCCATCTGTTAGTTCCTCTAGAATTCCATCTCACCAATTCTACCTCAAAATATTTTCTATCATTTTTTCCTGTCCTTGTTTTTGGACTCCTCAAGTTATCCCATCTAATCTCAATTAATTTGACTTGGCTTTCCTCTTCCTTTCTGTCCTACTGTTCTTTATTTTATTTTCCTTATAGGAGGAAGTAAAAAGTTACCAGTTAGCTCTCTAAATCCCACTCCTCCCACAAGTATCTGTTACCACATTTTCCCCCTAAAAAGTTCTAGCTCTTCAAATCTGTACTTAGTATTATCACTCCATCTGATTCTGTGTGGAGGGCCACTTCCTCTAGTGGGATGAGTCATCCTCCCCCTCCTTTCAGTATCCCAAATTAGCACTGGCCCTGGGAAGTCCTGCTCTGTGGAGCTTCTACCCCTGCCCTCATAAACAATTGAAGATCCCAAACTTGAGAATTTTTGTGGTGAGTCCTCTCATAATATCAGAGTCCTCTGTATCTGGATATGCTATATTTGTCTCTCTCTATCCATCCTTGTTTTCCACAACATGCCTCCTCTACTGTAGGTAGCACCCATAGATATTCCATGCTCATATTCCATACTCATTCCTACTTTATTCCTTCATTCTACTGCTCCCCTGACTTGTAACACTTCACTGTTTGCCATCAGATATATCCTCCACATCCTTCAAGGACCAATTGCTCTATTTTAACTACCCTCTTCTAACATTTATATTTAGCAATCTAAAACTACACAATGTACCAAAACTCTTATATTCTTTTCTGCTTCATGTATATCTATCTTCTGTCCTCCAGTAGATTATATAAGGTCCTTAAGGTTGGAGACAATGTCCTGTCTTTCTTCTCTGTTTTCTACAGCTCCTAGCCGAATATGGGAGCCAATAACAGGCACTCAGAAGCATTGAATAATTGATTGATTGATTGATTGATTGATTGATTGAATTGTTGATAGGCCATGGCTTTTGTCTTCTCTGCTTCAGGTATGTGGAGAGCCAACGCCATACCATTCAGGGAGACTATATAGATACCATGGAAGAGCTTGCTGATCTGGTGGGCGTCAGGCCCAATCTGCTGTCTCTGGCCTTCACTGACCCCAAATTGGCAGTACAGCTATTTTGGGGACCCTGCACTCCAATCCAGTATCGTCTTCAAGGCCCTGGAAAATGGGATGGAGCCCGAAAAGCTATCCTCACCACAGAAGATCGTATCAGGAAGCCAATGATGACTAGAGTGATTGAAAGCAGTAATTCCACAACTTCAACAATAACAATGGCCAGGTTTATGCTGGCTGTTATTTTCTTTGCTATACTTATGACCTACTTTTAGCTGTCCCATTTGTCATTGCCCTAGTTTTCTTTGGAAAATTGGATCTACAGATGCCTTAAGAATCTGATGAGATTGAACAACTCTCAGCTTCACATTGCCCAGGAATTTACTTTTATTGCTTTTGCCAAAGCATTAATCCTCTGTCCTCTTTTCACTAGAGTGAGATGCTAGCTTTTCATTCATATTGATTTCCCTCCCTTCCTTTCATGACCCATCACTTTTTCCTTTTAGTAACCCCTGGACTATGAGCACAGGTATTCTTTTAGCCATCTTTGTTTGTCCTTAGCAGACTTCTTTACATGTGGTATGTGCTTAATAAATGTTTGTTTTCATTTATCAAATATTATGGTGGGGAGCAAAAGTCAATATCTGTATAAGAAATGGGGACTCCATGTAATTCTGTAGCTGATAGGATTTGGTTTTCTATTAGAAGCTCAATCTTTTGTTTTTTTTAATATTGTAACTAAATGTATATCTCCTGACAGATAAGAGAAATAATGGTCTTGTATACATCTAAGATAAGATATATAAACACTTAACCATTTTATTTCACTAGCTACTCACTAGTATGTGTGATACTCTTTTCCCCTAAGCAGCATGTCTTTGTTTTTTCAATGAGAAAACTTTCTTCAGCTTTCTAGGCTCATGGGTCATTCTAATAATCTAGCATCTGCCAATAGGTTCAACTTGGTTGAAAAATTTGGGATTTTAAGTTAGCTGTCCTATCTTCTTTTGATCTCTTAGTTCCCATATTAGGATCCAATACGACTTTGTCTTAGATCCGTAGCTGCCAACTTTTGTAGTATGGCCTATGTATGTGATTTGATTTGTCATCCTTTACTCCTACTTTCTCCTCTCTACTCCCTCACACACACAGAATCTAAGTAGTACGTATTCAAAGAGGTCATTTATGTATTAAAACAGGATTAAGGGGCGCCTGGGTGGCTCAGTCGTTAAGCGTCTGCCTTCAGCTCAGGTCATGGTCCCAGGGTCCTGGGATCGAGCCCCATGTCAGGCTCCCTGCTCAGGGGAAGCCTGCTTCTCCCTCTCCCACTCCCCCTGCTTGTGTTCCCTCTATCGCTGTCTCTCTCTCTGTCAAATAAATAAATAAATAAATAAAATCTTAAAAAAAAAAAACAGGTTTGAGGGGTGCCTGGGTGGCTCAGTTGGTTGAGCGTCCGACTCTTAATTTCGGCTCAGGTCATGATCTCAGGGTTGTGAGATCCTGCAGCAGGCTCACACGCTGGGTATGAAGTCTGCTTAAGATTCTCCTTCTCCCTCTCTCATTCCCCATTCCCCTCTCTAAAAAATAAATTATAAATAAATAAATAGGATTGATGTTAACTAAATATAGGGACATTCTGCTTATAACAGTTCTTTTAATGTCATACAATGTAGTTCTGAAAAACAGAGCAAATGAAATGAAAAGCAGGGACTTCCATTTATGTCCTAGGACTGCTGTTGATTCCTTTTTCTCATTTGTAGAATATTTGTTCTGTTTTTGTCTCACAAAGTTAAGTAAGTGTTAACTGTTAGGCACACCGAATTTCATCAGGAATGATACTGGGTGTACCAGCCAGTCTTATATTCATAAATAAACTGTTCTGCAATACATTTTTACATTGCTGCCTATTATTTAACAAAAGGATAAATGTGAACAAGGAACAACATTAGAAAGTATTATCTTTCCCAGTGTGAATACACATAGGAGAACCAGACTCCTATGTGAGAACTACAACTTCCTCCTAATCATTGAACTCTATACCCAGTTCCATGCCATTTGGCCTAATTTACCTGTGGAAATTCCTTTTGAGATTTAGAGACTGAGACATGGTATTACTTCTTAGGTCTTTTTCCTTCCCTAAAACTTGTGATACTGATGATTTATCATCTATAAAAATAGACCTAGTATCTTACAATCTGCAGATTATTCTAGTTCAAAAGTAAATTAAACATTGCTTGCTTCTTTTTCATTTTCTTCTTTTAACATATAAATTTGCCTCTTTTAACATGTAAGCTTATTGAATGAGCAATCCTTTGATAATACAATATCAATAAGTATCCCAGTTTCCTCTTTTAAGTAAAAAGTGTGTCATTCTAAATTCATTGACTCTCTCATTTTACTTACAATATGTAAGGTTACTGAAAAAAAAAAATCATTGGTTAACTTCTAAACCAAGCCAAAAGTAAGATATGAACAGGAAACTGAACTAAAAACAACTCAAGATACAAAGCCCTAGTTGCTGATGATTGTGTACTATTCATTAATTTACCATACCTTGCTTTTCTAATTATGTTGAAAGGTTGTATCACTTTCCCATTATATCATTTCCCATTATATTACACACACACACACACACACACACATTCTTGTTGTGCCAGAAACTAAGAAAGTGCTCAAAAATCAAACTGATAGGGGTATTTCAAAGGGATACAGAAGCCAACTGAAAGTGGTCGCAATGGCCAAGGGCAAAACAATCTGAGCAACAAAATAAATGACCTAATGTAATGTATCCTGGATAGGAACTGGAACATAAGAAGAAAATTAAGTAACAAATATGAGGTGGGTGAGTGTGTTCTGGGGGTGCGGCCGCTGCTGCCACCACTGTGCAGAACCAGAGCAGGAGCCACTGCCGGGGTGTGGGGGGGGGAGGCCCGGACCTGGGGGGGGGTATAGATTCCCAGAAGTGGGATGACTGGATCAGAGGGTGGTCATCCTGTATATAACAGTGTGCGTCTCACTGCACCTTCAATAGCACTGAGTAGACCGTCAGTATTTAAACAGACCACATGATGCAAGAGTACAAGCTAGTGGCCCTTGGTTTATAGGAGGCATGGGAAGTCTGCTCTGACAGTTCAGTTTGTTCCTGGAATTTTTGTTGAAAAATATGACCCAATGATAGAAGATTCCTACAGAAGTCAAGTTGAAGTAGATTGCCAAAAGTGTATGCTCGAAATCCTGGACCCAGCAGGACAGAGAAATTTACAGTGATGAGGGATTTGTATATGAAGACTGGCCAAGGATTTGCACAAGCATATTCTACTACAGCTCAGCCCACGTTTAATGACTTACAGGACCATTTGATGGGTAAAGGGCACAGAAGATGTTTCAGTGATTTTGGCTGGCAATAAATGTGACCCAGAAGATGAGGGAATAGTTGGCAAAGAACAGGTCAGAATTTAGCATGACAGTGGCGTGACTGTGCCTTTTTAGAATCTTCTGCAAAGTCAAAGATCAACATTAATGAGATATTTTATGAACTGGTCAAAACAGATAAATAGAAAAACACCAGTGGAAAAGAAGAAGCCTAAAAAGAAGTCATGTCTGCTGCTTTAGACCCCCAGTAAGCAGTAATCCTGGGCCAGATTACAGGAATGAGCTGGTGCCTAACTGGGAAGTGCCAGCATTCCAGACTTCAAAAATGAAATCTGAACAGGCTTCTCCTGTTTTATACATTTTGTGAATAACTGAAATCTTATATTGGTTTCCACAAATTCTCTGGAGAAAAAAAACAAATGCTCTCTGTATAGCTCTTGGAAAATAAGACAATAGTAATTCTCCTTTGAAATAGCACTTATAACAGGTGTGAAAATAAATATACTTAACTCTAATATGATCATACAAAAGAGATGGATGCATTTTAAATGTTAGATATTGCTAGTATAATCAAATGATTTCATACTGACCTTTTTTTCTAAAGATTTATTTATTTGAGAGAGAGAGAGAGAGCTAGCTGAGCGGGGGAAGGGGCAGTGGGAGAGGGAGAGCAAGAATCCCCAGGCAACTCCATGCTGAGCGCGGAGCCCTTCACAGGGCTTGATCTCATGACCTCAAGATTATGACCTGAGCCAAAACCAAGAATCAGATGCCCAATCAAGTCACCTAGGCACCCCTCATATTGGCCTTTTTGTCATGATTTCACCCTGTCAAACACTAAAAAGTTGAACCATTATACTTATATCTATAATTATATAGATTATGAAATTTCCCCTCAAACTCATTGAGGCAGACAACTTTTTGAGTCATTGGCTTCATTTTGTATTTTAAAAATTATGAAATATCATTCTGTCTTTATATTCTACTTAAAATTGTACATAGAGCTTTGAAAAAATGGGTCTTTTATAGGAAAAAAAATGAGATAACTGATTTCTGTGGCTTTCAAAGCTAAAATATATAATATACAAAACCAACTCTAATATTACTTCTTGTGTTTTACTGTCAGTTTAAATTACAGCTTTTATGAATAATTAAATCTTAGTACATTTAAAAAAACTAAAGAAATATTATTTTTTTAAAAAAATGCTTATTGGGGGCAGAGCAAGATGGTGGAAGAGTAGGGGGCCTGGATTTTGTCTCCTCTCAGGAAGTCAGCTGGATAGGGATCAAATCAATCTGAACACCTACGAACTCAACAGGAGATCAAAGAAAAGAAGAGCAACAACTCTCTGAACAGAAAAGCGACCACTTTCTGGAAGGAAGGACATGCAGAAAAGTGAATCCGAGGCGATATTCGGGAGGATAGACAGAGAGGGAGGGGGCCTCCGTCGGCCGCTTCTGGCAAGTGAGAGAACCGTGGAGCATAAAATCAGAACTTTTAGAAGTCTGCTCCACTGAAGGATGTCACTCCGGTGGCTAAGCGGGGGGTGGAACCCTCGTGGGACAGTGTGGTCTCAGGACCCTCAGGGTCACAGAAAGACTGGGGGTGCCTGAGTGTGGCCGAGCTCCCAGGTATCAGAGAGGGGAAGCCGGCTGCAGAGACAGAGCCCAGGCACGGGCTCTCAGCTTGGGGTTGCCATAAACGGTGATCTGCGGCACAGTCGGGCCACTGCTCCTCCAGCAGGGACCCAACAAGCAGCAGATCTGGGGAGACTCACCTTCCTACCCCGGGAGGAGCGGCGCAGGAGTGCACTGCAGGGATCTGCTGTGTTTGGAGACTCCACACAGGGTCGGGTGCCAGAGATAGAAATGCGCAGTCACAGGCCGGGTGAACACGATGTGTGGCCAGAGACCGGGGAGACGGGAGTGACTGGTGGCTTTTCTCTGGGGGCTCAATGAGGAGTGGGCCTGAGTTCTCGGCTCCTCCGGGGTGGAGATTGGGAGGCTGCCATTTTCACTCTCTGCCTCCAAAACTATAGGGAAAGCTCACAGGGAACAAAAGCTCCAGAGAGCAAACCCGAGCAGATTACTTAGTCCGGACCAGGCAAAGGCGGGGCAATTCCGCCTCCGGCAAAGACATTTGGAAACCACAGCAACAGGCCCCTCCCCCAGAAGATCAGCGAGAACAGCCAGCCAAGACCAAGTTTACCAATCAATGAGAACGGCAGAACTCCAGCGTTAGGGGAATAATGCACATAGAATTCATGGCTTTTTTACCATGATTCTTTAGTCTTTCAAACTTAATTTTTTTTAACTGTCTTTTTCTATTTTTTTTTTTAAATTTTTCTTTTTCCCTTTTTCAACCAACATCTTATCAATCCCTTTTTTTTTAAAAAAAATTTATTTTTCATTTTTATTTTTCATTTTTAGAGCCATATTCTATCCCTTCATAGTAGTTACCCATATTTTTGGCATATATATATATATAAGTTGTTCTCTCTTTAAAATTTTGAGATAGTTTCTTCTAACAGATCAAAATATACCCTAAATCTCTATTGCATGGTTTTTTTCTACTCCCCTGCCTGATCACATTCTCTCCCTTTTTTTCTCTCTTTTTTTTTAAAAATCCTCTTCTTTCTTTTTTCAAACAACTTCTTATCAATTCCTTTTATAAAATTTTTTATAATATTCATCTTTACATCATATTCCATCCCTTCATCATATCAACCCTTATTTTTGTACATATATAAGTTTTTCTTTCCTTAAAATTTTGGGAGGCACTTTCTTCTAAAAGACCAAATACACCCCAAATCTAGTGTGTGGCACTGATCTATACCAGCCGGATCATATTTGAGCACATTCCTTTTTTTAATTTGTTTTTTTCTGTTTTTGTTTGTTTTTATCTTTATCTTTTTCTTTTTCTTTTCCTTTTTTATTTCTTTTTCTTTTTTCTCTCTTTCCCTTTCTTTTCCCACTGCTTCAGGTCTTTTCTGATTTGTTTAGAGTATATTTTCTGGGAACGTTGTTACCCTGTTAGCATTTTGTTCTCTCATTCATCTATTCTCCTCTGGACAAAATGACAAGATGGAAAAAATCACCTCAACAAAAAGAACAAGAGGCAGTACCGACTGCCAGGGACCTACTCAATACGGACATTAGTACGATGTCAGATCTAGAGTTCAGAATCATCACTTTAAAGATACTAGCTGGGTTTGAAAAAAGCATGGAAGTTATTAGAGAAACCCTTTCTGGAGAAATAAAAGAACTAAAATCTAACCAAGTAGAAATCAAAAAGGCTATTAATGAGGTGCAATCAAATATGGGGGCGCTAACTGCTAGGATAAATGAGGCAGAAGAGAGAATCAGTGATATAGAAGACCAAACGATGGAAAATAAAGAAGCTGAGAAAAAGAGAGATAAACAACTACTGGATCACGAGGGCAGAATTCGAGAGATAAGGGATACCATAAGACGAAACAACATTAGAATAATTGGGATCCCAGAAGAAGAAGA